AAAACTGTCTGGGCTCCGCCCACGGGTAGTGCGCCCGGGGTCTGATATACGGCAGCTGTATGCCCAGGAGCCTGAGCGGTAGGGGTCTGCGCTCCCCCTCCCGCTTGAGATGTGGCTGGGTCTGCTAGAAATAAACTAGCCTGAGTCATAGAATCCATGAACCGCAGCATACGACCCATGACCTCCTGGAATCCCGGTGCAGACATGAAATCCACTAGGGTCGGCTCTCATGCGGGCACCTCACCCTGCTCCTCGATGATTGGATCCTCTACTGGATCCACGGGTGGCATGACTGGAATAACTCTAGGACGCCCCCGTCCTCTACCACGAGCTGGAGCCCTTCCTCGGCCTCTGCATCGGCCTTTAGCAACAAGGGGAGCAGCTCCTCCATGATCGGGTACATCTGTCGCTCGCGTTCTCACCATCCGTGAGAAAATAAGAGAAAGATACTTAGCACAACATCAATTGCACGATAGAAGATGAAGAAAGAGTAGTTTCCTAACACCCTATACATAGCCTCTCGAAGATAAGTACGAACGTCTTCGCACCGATACACAATACTATTTTAGGCCTGCTCATAACTTGTGAGATCTACGTGAACCTAGTGCTCTGATACCACGTTTTCACGACCCAATTTCTCCCATAGGCCGTGATGGCGCCCAACGTCGCCGCTAGGCAAGCCAACGGTGAACTAACCATGTGATTGCTCTTTTTAATAAGCTTCCAAGTAATTAAATATCATTTATTAAGAAATTAAGGAGTAAAAAATTTAATAAATAAAACGAAGACAACTGAGTGGCAATCACAGTGATATAAATACTCCAAAACCATAAAGTCTACTAGTATGTGTGCCAAGATCTAGTGTTACAAGTGTATGAAAAACTTGTAAAATATACAAAACTCTAACTACTGTTTGAAATAAAAGTAGACAGAAAATAAGTGCAAAAGAGAGACTCTAGATGCTGCAGAATGACTCAGGAAGCAGCTCACCACTAGGCCTCAAGATAATAGGGGTGCGCGTCGGTATGACTTCCAGATGCACCTGCCTCAGATCATGCACAGTTAGTTCAGAAGTGTAGCGTGAGTACATAAACAACATGTACCCAATAAGTATCTAGTCTAACCTTGAAGAAGTAGTGGCGAGGGGTCGACATCGACACTTACTATGGGCTAACAATAAAAATACGAAAATTCTAAATAAGCATGGGTTATGTAAATAATAATAATAACACAATAACAAGCAGGAAATAATTAATTCTTTCACTAATGGTAAATTTCAAGTCAGTTTTTGTCATATATAATTTTAACCTCTCAAGCCATAAAATAATATCAAATATAATCAAGCTCCGAGTATTATCACGCACGATTATGCCGAGGTCGTACGGCCCGATCCAGAATAATATGTACACTGCCGAAGGTCAAGCGGCACGAACCATAGATGCATCTTTTCTACTGTCGAGACGTTCGTCCCGCTCCACAAGAAGAGAGGATACTTTATAAACATTCAGTTTAAAAACTATTACAAGGCTAATACACAAAGAAGCACAATTTCTATTAACGGTCAAGTATCTCGCCAAAACTCAAGTAAGTGGAAGTCGGTCTTTTACAATTCCTATATCAAGTTTTAATATAATTTAGGCATTTTTAATTAACAAATAGGGTGCAAAACATTACAACTATTTCATGATTTGGGTCCTAAACTAACCGGACATAAGCATAATTAGTAGCTACGCACGGACTCTCGTCACCTCGTGCGTACGTAGCCCCCACAATTAAAAGCAAATAGCAATTTAAATCACTTATGGGGTAAATTCCCTCTTACGAGGTTAGACAAGAGACTTACCTTATCTCAAAGCTCGCTTCCGATCCACCAATATGCTTAAAATTCTCAACTCGGTGCCAAAGTTAAATATTGTATAAATTAATCAATACATATTCAAAAGTTCATAATCTAACTATTAGAGTGATTTTCGGACCCCAATTAGAAGATTCCTAAAATTCATCCCCGCGATCACGTGCCCGTATTCCGGAAATTTTCGAAGATAATTGTTACCAATAACCTTACGAACTCAAATGTATAATTTTTATCCCATTCCATAATCATTTTCGTGGTTAAATTCCATTTTTATCAAAACCTAGGTTTTTTATCTAAACCCAAAATTTTTATAATTTTACATGATAAAATCTATCCATAATCTATGTATTTAACTTACATTGGGTAGGAATTACTTTCCTTCAATATCTAGGTGAAAATCTCTCTTAAGAAGCTCCAAGATCGCCCCAAGAAGTGAAATAAATGAATAAAAAATGGCCTAAGTCCCGCAAAAAATGGACCTCACTGCCTAGCGGCTTCCGCATATGCGGAGTAATGGCCGCATCTATGGACATAGCCTCGCAGATGCGGTCCATGCCCAGGCCTGCCCTTCCCACTTCTGCGGTCAAAGTCTCACATCTGCGAGCCCGCTTCTGCGGCACGAGTGTCGCACTTGCGCACCAGCCCGCTTCTGCGATCTCTTCCTCGCATTTGCGCCTTCGTAGATGCGGCTCCTCTCCTTGCTTCTGCGATCACTGGACAACCCACGCTAGGCCGCTTTTGCGAGCTCGCACCTGCGGCTGGTCCTCCGCAGGTGCGATTGCACCAGAAACTCTGATGCTTCAGCTATTCTTTCCTAGCCCAAATGAGTTCCGTGCCTCGTCCGAATGGCATCCGGAGCGCCGCCCAAACATACCAACAAGTTTGAAATCATAAAATGGACCTGTTCGACCTCACAAAACACGAAAGACAACACCAAAACTAAGAATCACACTCCAAACCAAATCGAATCAACTTATGAACTTCAAGTTCTTCCAATTTGCTCTGAACGCGCCGAATCATACTTAAACTAATCGGAATGACACCAAATTTGGCATGCAAGTCTTAAATCACCTTACGGAGCTATTCACAGGGTTGAAATCCCAAACGAACCTCGATAACACCAGAACCGACTCCAAACCAAATTTAAAGAACTTTTAAACCTTCAATAAGCCAACTTTCAACTTTAGGCACCGAAACGCTCCTGGGTCATCCAAAATCCGATCCGAATACATGCCTAAGTCCAAAATCATCATACGAACCTATTGGGACCGTCAAATCCCGATTTCGAGATCGTTTACTAGAATTGTTGACCCAAGTCAAACTTAACCCTTTAAAGCGAATAACAAGGAACTAAGTGTTCCAATTTCAACCTGAACTCCTCCAAACCCGAACTAATGCAAGTTATAAAACAGTAAAAGCACATACGGGGAGTCTTATTTAGGGGAACGAGGATTTACAAAGCAAAACGAACGGTCGGGTCGTTACAAAAGTTTTAAAATTGAAAATGTACGCATAATAAGAAGAAATAAAATGGGGAAGTGGTTTATAGAAATTGATAGCCTGTTTGGCCAAACTTCTAAAATCAGCTTATTTTGAGAAGTGCTTTTCTCAAAAGTACTTTTTTAAAAAGTGATTTTGGTGAGAAACAATTTGTATTTGGCTAATTAATTTGAAAAACACTTTTGAGCATTAATTAGTGTTTGGCCAAGCTTTTGAAAACTGTTTCTAAGTGTATTTTTCTCAAAAGTGTTTCTCAGAAAAGTGCTTTTTGGAGAGAAGCTACTTTTTTCTACTTCTCAAAAACTGCTTCTGCTTCTCCTCAAAATCACTTTTTTTTCCTTCCAAAAACTTGGCCAAACAACTCAATTTTTGGTCAAAAATACTTTTGGACTTTTGGCCAAAAAAAGATACTTTGGCCCGAAAATAAACTTGGCCAAACGGGCTATGAATCTTTAACGAGCTATCCACACCCTTTATGTTGAGAAAGATCTCAAGATGGTTGCCTATAAGTCTGTTTTTTATACTTTACTTTTGGTACGTCTTCTTTATTTGGTGGGGATCCAATGCATTGTCTTTCATCATGTGTTCTAATTTATCCAAAATATTAAATAATTACAAATAGTAAAATCTTTTCTGAAGTAAAAATATTTTATGAAATGATTTAGAGTCTTTATGTTGTTATTTTAATTCAAACACAGTAGTGCTCCTAATTAGAATTTAGGCAATAGATAAACTTTAGAAAGAGGTTTTTAGTTGGACGGCCTAGATGGCTAGATTATTATCCACTTTTAAGCTCACTTTGATTCAATACAATTAACTCAAATGTTTTTTTAACAAATTTAACTCAAACTCTTGAGTCGCTCAAATTGACTTAAACCAAATTAATTATTTAACGAACTTAGCAAAGCAAATTTTCCGCTAACTTAACAGACCGATTCTTTATTTCCCGCTAACCCTCGTTGGTCCCAAATGGCCAAATTCAGTGACCCAAAGTTGAGCCATATCATGACACCTTTGGCGCGCCCCTAGATTAACTCCCCC